CTTCTTCTTCTTCTTCTTCTTCTTCTCCCTCAACTTCTACGTACACTATCGAGACGTTGCTTCTTAGCTTCATACGCGTTCAAGTGAGTAGTAGAGACTTGATACTCCTGGCGATGATAAACAACTTTTGCTAATTAATGACTCATAGTTAACTTCACTTCTCTAGACGAGACAAACACACATCCCAAATCTATCAAAATGGCCGGTGCTCACCAAGCTTGCCCCTCCTGCGGCGCTGCCATCCCTGGCGAGACTAAGACTTGTGGATCTTGCGGAAAGGTATTTGGTTCTTTTTTGCTTCTTTACCGTATAGGTATCCTGGATGTTCGCTGATTACAATATTCTTATGATAGACCTGCCCTGTTTAAACTCGCTTCGCTTCGATTCGGAGATGATATCTGGCGTTTGGGGGTTGTGTGCGCGAGGATGTGATAAGTAGGCGAAGGGAGGGGATGTGATTATATAACGTGTTGATGAGTGATGACGACGATGATGATGAATATAAATGAAATGATCGAATGAGAGTGTATTAATTCGTTCTTTGTAAGGGTATAGATTACACCATAGTCCTCATATCCACGGTTCGAGTATTCGACCTTTCGGACTGCGTCGAGAGTCGCTCTATACTTCGATCAGGACTATCCTCTCTCGACCGAAGCATGGTTTCCGTGTCCTCTTTATTCTCCTCGTCTTGTTCATCGTCGCTCTCTGATGGCCGCGAGAACCGGTTATTGAGGACCATCGAGTGGCGTTGGGGATCCATCGTGCTGTTGTTGGGTAGAGGCTCGTTCTCTGAGAGAAGGACGACGGTGACTGGATGATCGCAGATACGGGGTACTTTGAGAAGACTGTAGAGTGCGTTGAGAGCAGGGACAGATATGCCGTGGACTACGATGGAGAATAGAACTAGCCAGTAGACGACTGTATCACCGTTGGTTAGAGATTATCTGCCGATTCGGAGTGCAATGCAGACATACCTGGCACCATCGCAGCAGTCATGCTGTTGATCTCTTCGTCACTTTGTCCGGGAGGAGGGAAGAGTCGACGGGTATACTCCACGTACGAGACTGCACCGATTCCTATATATTTGTCTTAGCATGGGAGGTTCAGATAAACGCCTGCAGGCTTACCAATTGGCCCAAAGTGGCCTAGAAAGAGTGCCTCCTTCCAGTCGCTGCAGACCTTGGGCATGAAGCGATATCCCATAAGAATAGCTGGGATGCGCCGAAACACCAAGATCATGAAACCTAATGCAAACAGCCGCCATAGCGTGATCCCCGTATCATGGGGACGTTGGAAGTATGCCCACGGCATGGTCGCCCCCAGGAACATGAACGCTGCGAAATTCAGCAAGGTCTCCATGGTCGAGTTGAACGAATCATGTCGGGCTTGAATTTCTTCGTGATAAATCCCGTTCCAGTTCAAGACACACCCAGCGACAAAGCAAGCGAGCGTCTCATCAGAGCCGAAGCAGCCGCAGGTGCCAACAAGGAGCAGCCCAATTGCCACTGGGACAAGTGTAAAGCTTTCATAATCAATCCACCTGTGCTTGGATGCTTTCTTCAGCAGCAGCTGGCACACGAACCCCACAAATGCACCATATGCTGCGCCTAATAGGATCATGTATAGAACTCCTTCAATAGCCCAGTGTTTGAGTGCCACGCCTGCGCCGCCGCCAAAACGTCCAACTCCAGTTGTCCCGAGTACATCTGGAACTCCCCGTTCCAGGTCAAACTCTTCCAAGCTGAGGGTATTGGCCGGTGCTTCGGCATATCGCAAGAACGAGACCCCCAGTAACAAGAGGGGAAACCCGAAGCCGTCGTTCCCACCTGCCTCGGCGGAGATGAATTCCCGTAGCGGTCGGCGGACGAAGTTGTCGGCAAAAGGACCCTTAGCAATTGCCTGGGATAGAACTGGATCTGTGCAGGTTACACAAGCGCTGATAATGAGTGCTGAGAGCTTTTGTGGGGTGATTAGTCGCTTTCAGAGCTAGCACAGATAGAGAAAAGGGGTAGACATACAAAGGATATGTGTGGGATCACAAGCTTCACACAGGCAGAAGTTGCCAGCCACGAGATGGTCATCAATGGTATTAGGCAGATGATCATTTCCGCCATGCGTTGCCTCAGGTATTTCTTGGGTAGTTCATATCCCACTTTGGCTAACTGAACGCCAATGACTAGACGTGTCAAGCCCTAAAAAGTCAGCACAATTTCTCCCGGTGTTTGCCCGGTAGTCTCACATAGGCTATCTCGCTAGTCTCGTTGTCACTGTCACCTCCCCATTGAGAAACATTCAACAATTTGGCACCGGCTGGCCCAAAGCAGATGCCAACAACGAAGGCAGGCACTGAGAGGCTTTAGCATCAAATTATCTAATGTAGGATCATACAGAATCATACGAGCTTCACCAAGGTACCACCTTTGTTTGACCTTTAAGGAGACGAAGCCGAACAGGAGGATGTAAAAGCCTTGGTGGGGTATTAGTTCCCTTCGTAGAAAGGATTATTGGAACTTCTTCTGCTCACCTGTAACAGAAAGCACTAGATTAAAATTGCTAATGTCAAGAATTGGATGCAACATCCCTGCTAACGCTAAACAGCTGTTGTCTGGGTCCGGCTGGGGCAAGATAAACCCTCACTCCCGAGTCGAGTTAGGGAAATCGCGCATAGAAGATAGACACTGGGTGTCATCAATCTCCTAGAGCCAAAGTTTGAGTGACTGAATTAATGGGTTATTTGTGCCGGTCAAAGATACCAGTCAGATTCTGCCTCGACTAGGGCAGAGGGTCGGGGGAGACTGTCTGTTCATACAGCACGTCCAGACCATCAACAAACTCCTGGTCACCCCTTACTAGTACACTGTATAGCAGCCTGGTGCTGTCACACCCTTCCGACAGGATGCATACATTGTGGGTCCTGATACGCCTCCCTTGCAGGAGGAATTGTAGATTCGAAGCTTGGCTGCGAGGCGTAGATAGGAATGAGCCAAGAATGGGGAGGCCAGGCTGCATCCCGATGAGCGGAATAATTTTGCATGCCGGTATGATATTAAGCTTTCAGTTTGTAGGGAACTCTGGGAATGTAAGAGACCGCGGACAATGTAGCGTGTCAGTATACAGCAAAGGCTTATCTGTAGGCAACAAGGGATGGAAGGACGCAAGATAACGGTAACAATGAGATTATGGCAAGACAAAAATAGCATACCAAGCTGGCAGATGATGCAGGTGGCTCTGGACTTGTCCATCAAGTTTTACTGTGGTACTGCAGCCCAGGGTGCAAGGCAGCTCATTTGGAGACGAAGAAGTAGGGGATAGAAACGAGGGCATTTTTGGCCAGGCGAGACTTAAACGGCAACATATAGGTGTTCTTAGAAATTCCAGGCTCCAATGGCCACGATCACCAGCTGGCGTTCAGACAAAAGGCCAGATTATGCACTCTGGTGGAGAGAAGTATGTTGATTCATAGCCGGCTGTTCTTGCTGCGAGTAGCCGCCAGCCTGAGTGCCTGATCCCGAGGGCTGCAAGGGGCCTCATGCGAAACACGGCCAGTTGACGTATCCGACAGTGGCTTGGACCTGTAAGTGTAGCAGGGAAGAGATGCATCAAGCTCAGCCGGATAATGAAAATAAATGGACAGCCGATATCGAAACCGTATAATGGGAATTTACAGATGCAGCCGAGGAAATGATATTTGGCTAAAGCAAACAAAGGGAATAAGCTCTAAGTTACATGAATCCGTAGAATAAATGGTTGGGAACCGCCTCGCAAATGAGACACTCAGTTAGTCCAACCTGTCAGTATTTGTCTCTCTTCGTCTGTGTACGCTCATATCCACTGACGCGTCAAATTTTAGTATCAACAACCACGCAGACGGCGTTTGATGATGGTCAGAACGAACTATCTATAAGGCCTTGTTGATATCGAATATCCACGATGCAGTCCAGGTAGCGACAGCTTACGCAGTCTTCCGCCACTGGGACCAGATACCGATCAAACTGCTGACCGTTCCTGCAAGACCCACGATGCCGTCATCGAGAGATGCCAGTCCGAGGGCGGACACTGGCACGCTCAGGTCACAAAGGTCGGAAATGAGCTGAATGCGTGCGGCAGAACGCTCCCTGCAAATACAATGTTAGTATACTGACCCAGCGCGAGTAGATTGGGCCAAAGAACATAACACATACTTCTCAAGCTTCTTGGCCTCCACAACACCTTCGCCTTCCTTGCGGTCGAGGGTCTTCTCCTTCTCCCGCAACCTGAACAGAGTGTATACGCCCGCGACAGCGCTGCAGACCAAGCCCGCCATCCATGAACGGTAAGCGTGCTCCTGCAGTCGCTTGGCCGAAGCAAGCTTACGAACACCGATCGTGTCAATAACGGTGACTGTATCGAGAGAGAGGTAGCCCGCGTAGCCAAGCTGACGGCCGACGGCGAGATAACGGAGTACAGGGTCGATAGGGTTCTTGTTGTCGGAGGCCAATGCGGCTGCCTTCAGATGCTCAACAAACTTGCCGATCCGCAGAATCTTCCGAGTTGTTCCGAACTGCTTCTTGACAGCGTTGAAAGGCTCGATGGCGGACTGGGGGCGGTTGGTGCGGTAGAGGTACCAAGCATAGAAGCGGGAGAAGTACTGCAGGGTTCGAAGGATCTTATCGCGACCGACTGAGAGATATTAGTGATATGCTGGAATGTGATCAAGTGTATCCTGCAGAAGCACGAGAGACATCTCCCCTGCATTGGGGCATATTGCTCTCTCCCGGCCGAGAAACCAGCAGCGCAGGACAGATAGAAAGCCGGCACGTACCGGTCGTTGCGACAAAGCGCAGGTAGTGCGCCAAGGCGGGATGGTAAACTAAAGCGTCTGCGACCATGTTGATGATGGCTGAAGTATGTGTTGGTTCGATGGGAAAGGTTCAAGTGTCGGTTAGTTATTGAAAGGGTAGAAAAAGGCGGGAGTCGAATTCCGCGCGGTGTCGGGACGGCGTGGGGACCGAGAAGGGAGACGAAGCTCTGGCGGGCTAGCGGATGGAGAGGAGAGGTCAGGTGTGATACAGACTGGAGATGGATAGGATACTCCGCACCAAGGATGGAAGGAAGAAAAGACGGGGGAGGGGCGGAGAAAAGGATATTAGTAGTAAGGGTCGAAGGGCTGGCTGATGGATGATAGGATCGGTAAATGAGCGGCCGGCGATCGCCCGTCTGTTGGAGGTGAAAGACTTCGGGAGTTGGAACCTCGGCTGGTCGGACCATCCAAGCTGTCAATCACAAGATCCTCCCTAATCCACTCTCCCCGCCATGCAAACTACGGGTCCAGCTGGTCTTCAACAATCATCTTTTTTTATTATTAATTTTCCCCTTCTTTTCCTTCGACGAAATAACATGAAGCATAATAATAGTATTTCTATACATTACATCAATGGCACATAGTCATCGAGTCATTAGCCATACTCTCTTATCTTAAGACCCTGAGCATCCTTTCCAGGGCTCCGATCGGGCAAATTGTTCGTTACCAAAATTGCACTTCTGGGCGTATTCTCTTCTGGGGTCGCTTGGGCATCTTAACTCCAACTTCAATCGTCGATCATCGCCGGTTCGCTGCTTGGGCTTTCTTAATGGATGTTGCATGGGCCGTTCGTCTGCTGGATGTCGCTTGGGGTACGGGAGGGTTGACGCCTGTTAGGCTGGGGCGTTGACCGGGTAAGCGGTTCAGATGCGTTGCTTTAGCAGGTCCGTAAGGCGCGCGGGTTGCAGGAGGAAATCGATTACCGCTCCTCTCGGTTGCCCATGGCAGAAGTATCGTAACCATGGGCCTCAAGATAGGCCCGGAATTTGGCGTCCTCATAAGTGATGGTGTCCTGTATGAGACTATTAGCCTATTCTCTCGCCTGGACGGACCCAAAAGTATGGCATACCTGTCCGATGTTTGGCAGGAGGAAAAAGGCCAAAGCAGCACTAAAAATGCAGAGTGAACTGGAGACGAAGAAGGGGTCCTGGCCGGACCGGACCTTGTTAGGCGCGTTGTCTTGAATGATCGGGATCACATATGTCCCAACAAACGCGCCTATCTTTCCAGCAGCAGCAGCGATGGCGTAGAACTGGCCCCGTACAGCGGTTGCACTGCTCTTGGCACAGCACAATCCAATGTTGTCGCCCGGGCCAAACTCACCAAGACTCGAGAAAATGCTAGGTTCATAAGTTAGCAGATGAGACATCATTATGATGCAAGGCCAGGGCTTACCCGAAAACCACGACGAATGCTGCGACATTCTTGGGCGTTGAGAGATACTCATAGCAGCCGGACATGATAAAACCAACAATGCCTTGCAGCAAGACACCGAGGGCCAGGGTATTGCGGGGCCCCAACCAATCACTCGCCAATGCTCCTAGAAAAGATCCGGGGATGTAGAAGGAATATGTCAGTGTAGTCCAACCGAAGCTCTTCCAGAGTGGAGCACTGTCCCCCAAGATGATTGCGATCCAGTCAGACGAGTAGATGCTGAAGGAATAAGAAGAAAAGTCATAGAGGAACCAGATCAATGAGCATATAAACTGTCCATGGTCAGTAATGCTCTGCCCACTGGCTAGAACGGGGCACACAAACCAGACGCTTCCAATAGAACCTATGAATGTGCGATTAGTCGTGGAATACAATAAGTGATAATAGCCAGGCAGCTTACTTGATAATCAACCAAAGAGGGAACTTGTGCATGCGCTCGCGGTTAAACTCCTCGGGCTCCTCCAACTTCAACCGGAGATAGATCAGACTAAGAGGTGGAATGACACCAAGACCCAATCCGATACGCCAGACCGCACGCAGATGGTTTTCGGTGAAGATCAAAACCAAAATCATCGAAACCAAGGCGGAGACAACATAGGCAAAATCGATCTGGAAATTGGTGAACATCACGAACCATCGGTTGCGATGGCCTTGCTTGAGTTCACCAGTGTTCTCCGCGGCTGCGACAGACCCTGCAGGGTACTCGCCGCCAATTCCAATTCCTAGGAAGAAACGGTATGCGGTAAGGGCAGCAAATAAGCCATAATGGCTGTTATGGTATCCATAGGATCCAGCACACAAAGCGGCAAAGAGGAACAAAATGATCGTAGAGATCATTAAAGACCATTTTCTCGACCAGTGGTCACTTGTGTATCCAAAGATAAGCATACCGACCACAGTACCTGCGAAAGTAATCGAAGATACATTCTGGCTGGCGGGCGAGTTGGCGTATTCATCAGGGTAGAGCCTCTTCAGGATCGTATTTACAGGTCCAATGATCTGTAAACAACCCAGATTAGCAAGACCAACAAATGCCACAAATCCAGTCTATTTTGAGTGTACGAACCCCATTGAGGTAGCCATCAGAGAAGAGACCAGCGCCGCAAGCAATTGTGGGCCAACTGCGCTCCCAACGGCTCTTGCCTACCGCAGTTTCCTCCAAAGGAATTGCGTCGAGAGAAGCGGGGGCCTTTTCCGGAGGAACATCGACCTTGGACTCAACGTCCGGTTTTGGTTCCATGCTGACTGCTTTTGCAGGTCAATTTAGGTTCACAGCCCTGGATTGTCGCAAAAGAGGAGAAATTGGCCCACTCTGTGTGTATACAAAGGGCAATTGTCTCTTTAAAAAACAAGTGTAACCCTGTCAAGATGAGGGACTCGGAAGACACCGAAAGAGGAATAATTAAACGGCGATTACGCCTATATATCAGAGGAGTGAGAGTAGAAGATCAGTGGAAAGGACAGGGGAAGAAACAGGAATCTAGGGGTATAAGTACTACAAAGGAGAAAGGAACTGGAAAAAAAACTTTCGGTGGGCAAGAGGACCAGCGAGAGAACAGCGTCAAGGCACATGATGGATTTCCTCTTTGATCCTTGGTCTTCCATTCCCACGCTAAGCTGGCCGGCGAGGTTGTATTGGCCCCTCCCTGTGTAGCCTTAGCGTCAGTATCACCGCGGGTCAAGAAGGTAAGTGGATCCCAGTACCCCATCTTCCCTATCAAGCCCAACTATGCACTATGCCTGTTAGGGTGTAGTCCACCCCGTCTCCATGTGCTGTTATTCGCTGATGCCTCAGTCTTGATTTGACCAGCCGAATCTCATCGAAGCATATGCGAGATTCTTTAGCCTCGTTGACTTTGTCTGGTCTGCTACAAAATTTTTTTCCTCGCCCCATAGCACGTGCTAGATGCAGCACGTACTGTACGCTATTGCGAGACGACTGAGAATCGCTGCAAAGCCTAGAAAATCCCCATAATCGATGAGGTATACTGTGTACTAGTTGGTAAGAGATGATACCTTTTACCAGCCACTTGCGGACAACGCTATGCGACTAGTGAGCAGACAGCCTTTGATACCGGAGTACCCCGAGGTAACCTTGCCATTAAAGTACGCATGTCAGACCCAATTATCACTAAGCCTAGTTCACATTTGCCGTCTCTCAAGGCTAAGAGCGGACCATTATCGTGCATATTCCGTAGACTACGCCTTATCCTAGATGCAAATGATAAGCACCAATGTCGGATGTGGCTTTCCGCCACATCTTCAATGATCTGGTGGAAACTGCACCCTTAACTGACCTTATATCGAATTAATACCATGCAGGCATTAAAGCTCTGATTCATGCGAAACTGGCAATCCAGCTGGAAGGCAGCAGCATCAATGAAAGGGTATTAGTTGCGATCCACGGTTTAGCTGCCAGTGATCAAGTTGCGTTTGTTATTAGCCTGCCGTGAGCGCAAGTGTGGTCCTCAGTCCACCCAAAAACTAGATCATCTTACTCCAGTCTACTAACGGAACTCACCAAAACAGTCAACTCCGTGGATGATCATCTGTACGTAGTATACGCGCAACACCCTCGCGGTGACAGGAAGATTGTAAAGGATCGGACATTCGATGATGGTTTACATCCAATAGAATGCATCATAAATACGTCTACTACTGTATCCTCCATTGCTCTTCCGGTGTCTGGCCATAAGCACAGTCATTAACACCGCCCTATACGGTTGCAGAAATAATGAAAAGGACGATAACTTTTCGGCATCAGTACATGTAGGACGTTGTATAATGGTGCATGTCAGACGTAATAATTAAGCGGCTGAGAAGCGTTCGCTGGCGTTGTGTTCGACGGCTTGCTCTCATGAACGATATAATACGTGTAGCATCCCTAGTGCCCACAAACATTAACTAAACGTTCAGAGAGCCATCGTTTTCTAGAAATGAGTCTTTCACCCAGATAAGCTCGACTTTGTTTACGTCTCGATGGTGTTCAGCCTATAAACTGTTCGAATGGCTGTTGAAACCTGGAAGCGGCTTCGGCAGCCGGAACAACATTTCCCCAGCTGAGCTCGGGTCAGCTACGTTCCATAGGTGATGTATCTGCCTCATCCATCATCAACCCCAGACCCTCTGCTCACTTGACCTTCAAGCTTCGCTCCATAGCCTCTTCATTTCAACTTGCCTATACGCATCTCTTTCATAGCTCGATATCTCACCCCCATTTGTCAACATGGGGTCCGATCCGCAGTACATAAAGTACCCTGATCTCAACCTCGCCCAACATGTCTTCAACCTCTCCAACCCTGCATGCCCGCAAACAGTGCGACAGACATCATTGAAGAGACTTCAAGATGTTATCTCCGAGAACAAGATGGCTCCATTCTACCGACACCTCGCTCATCCCGTTGAAGGCATTCTGAACCACTCTGGTGAAGGTGTCGCCCAGCACCCGACCAAGTCCCTGATTACGTCAAATATGCTGGCTTCGCGGAAGTCGCCTCAGAACATAGACTTTCCCTGGGATGAATCCCTGTACCAGTCATTGGTGGAAGACAACCGGAAGGAGTTGGAAGCCTTCCAAAAGGAGGAGGATGAAGCTGAGGAAGCCGCCGGGGAAACTGAGGTGCTGGCCGCACGGGGTAAGCGCGCCGAGTTCTGGGCACGTGTAGGCGATAAGGTATGTCTTGAGAAGCTTCAGCTAGGAGTCTATCCGAGATAAGCTCTGCATGATGGTTGATTTGCTAACCTCAGTTCGTGGCTGGCAGGACAAAGCTATCGAATCCCACGAGGCCCTCCTTGAGAAGACGACATTCCTCGGAACCAAGATCGACCTGATGCTGGCTATAATCCGGATTGGCCTTTTCTTCGGGGATACCCATTCTGTCAAGAAGAGCATTGAGCGGGCAAACACTCTCATTGAAAGTGGAGGAGACTGGGACCGGAGAAACCGCCTCAAGGCATACAAGGGCCTACATCTACTCACCATCCGTTCATACAGTCTTGCTGCCCCTCTGCTCCTGGACAGTCTATCGACCTTCACCAGCTACGAACTGTGCAGCTACTCGTCCCTGGTCATCTATTCGATCCTTGCGGGCTCATTATCCCTGAAGCGAGTCGACTTCAAGGCAAAGGTTGTGGATGCACCCGAGATCAAGGCCATTCTTGGACCTGGAGAGGACCGCCTAGCTGCTCTGACCGGCGAGATATCCTCCGGGCCGGGTGCCCAGGATGAGGAGATGAAGGATGCTACTGTCACCAGAGCGGCGCCGACCACGGCTACCACTGTGGTTAACCTCACTACTCTGGGAGCGGGATCTGGCATCCAGTCTGAAGCCGAAGCGCCCGTGGACTTTTCGCCTCTTGCAAACCTGGTAGACAGCCTGTACACCGGCAACTACCGGAATTTCTTCGTAGCGCTGGCAGCCGTGGAGGACAACTTCCTGAACCAGGACCGTTACTTGCACGAACACCGCGCGTGGTTTGTGCGCGAGATGAGACTTCGTGCGTACCAGCAACTGCTGCAGAGCTATCGCGTTGTTGGCCTGAACAGCATGGCCAGCGACTTTGGCGTCACTGTAGACTACCTGGATCGGTAAGTCCGCCATTGGACCAGTATCGGTTAGAACTGTGTTGACTGACAGCTACAGGGATCTTGCCAAATTCATTGCCAGCAACCGGATTGCATGCACCATCGATCGGGTCAATGGCATCATCGAGACGAACCGACCAGACGACAAGAACAAGCAGTACGCGGATGTTGTGAAGCACGGCGATGCCCTGATTACGAAACTGCAAAAGTACGGACAAGCCGTGCGGTTGCGAGGAAGCGAACGGAGCTAGAGGGGGTTCTGCCAGGGACGGAGTGGTCTGATCTTGACTCACCGCACATGGTTTATGACTCGCTAGATGAGAGACTCAGTGATTTATACATCTTTTGACACCGTTGACCATTGACACTGCGAGCGTCCAGACACGTGAGGCTGCTGTATCATACATATAATGACCTGAAGACAACATGACCTCAAGGAAATTTGGCCAATTGTGGGGAGTGGACCAAAGCTATTCCCACCGACATATGGTAGACTAGAACCAGGCAAGTCGTAGAGCCCTATCTTTCTAGTAAACAGTAGATACTCCGTACCCGAGCCGAAGTTCGGGAGGCTCCGGAGAGCGTGTGGGATCATGGGGATGACTGGCCTTCATTGGACCAACCATAGCAGACATGGGTGTAACGCAGTCCTCAGCCGGCTAGTCTCAAGCCACCACAGCGTACACAGTGCGACGCCCATCTGTACACATTTGCCAGTCGATAGATCAGATATCAATGCATATAATCGACTTCGATCGTCCCCTTTCTGATAATGCCCTGCCCATAAAAGGAAAGGAACCGTTCCTGACCCAGTGGGGGGAACCAGCTGAGTCATCTACTCACCGCCCCGTGGGATTTCCCTCGTGGATTTCTGCGTTTTTTTCTCCGTCTGGGATCTGCTTTCCGGCCCACGATCAGGCATTCTTTCTTCGCATTGTCGGCCTATCAGACGGGCTTGCCTTTTTCTTTGCTTCAAGGAGCACCCTGTTGCGACGTCTCCCCCGCTAGCCCCCACGGTGGAGAAGGATTGATCGTGCAATTGGCCGACGTATTCGAGCAAGAGTGCCGACATAATGACCTGGCAAATTAAGCTCGCCTCTCAACTGCGGGCAACTCCGCTGCGATGCGCTGTTTCCCGGCCGAATGGTGCCTGGCTGTCGTGCCATCAGAACGGCCCGCGCCATTTCTCCTCCAGGGCAGTCCTACCCGCCGGCTCTCTGCAAAGGGGTGAGTCTTTTTTTGTTTCTTTTACTTTTCCCCCCTCCTGCGTTGCTGCTGGTCATTGGATGTGGTCCCCTCCCCCATGTTCCGATTGTCAGACGGCCTCTTCCAGCCAGCCCCGATCTTGTGACATCCGGTCCCCCACCGTATACTTCCCATACAAATGGACCTCCTCCGCCATTCGGACAGATACCCTCTGCACTTGTCCTACAAAGGGTCAGTTAGCTAATTATATACCTTACGACCATTACAGAGTCCACCATGACCGTTACCCTCACTGCTAAGCGCACCCTGACCGCCTCCGCCGGCGGTCGTCTCAACTTGGACAACATCAACCCCCACGTCAAGGCCGCCAAATATGCCGTCCGTGGTGAGCTGGCCGTCAAGGCCGAGGAATACCGTGTGAAGTTGGCTCAGGGAGACAAGTCGTTGCCTTTCGACAGTGTCATCTTCGCCAACATTGGCAACCCTCAGCAACTGGACCAGAAGCCCATCAGCTTCTTCCGTCAGGTCCTCAGTCTTCTTGAGAACCCCTCCCTGTTGGAGAACCCCGAGGCTCTCCGTACGTCGTTCGGCTACCAGCAGGATGTCATTGACCGGGCCAAGACCCTTCTCGCCGATGTCCAGAGCGTCGGTGCCTACAGTCACAGCCAGGGTGCCCCTATCATCCGTGACAGCGTCGCCAAGTTCATCGAGGAGCGTGATGGATTTCCCGCCAACCCCCAGGACCTGTACCTGACCGGTGGTGCCTCCTCCGGTGTGAGCACTCTTCTGAACGTCATCTGCGATGGCCCTAGTGCTGGTGTCCTTGTGCCCATTCCTCAATACCCTCTTTACACCGCTACATTGTCCCTCCTCAACGCTCAATGCGTTCCTTACCACCTGGAGGAGCACAGGGCCTGGGGTACCGATGTCAATGCTATCCGTGAGAACCTTGCTCAGGCCAAGGCTGCTGGCACCGATGTCCGTGCCATTGTTGTGATCAACCCCGGCAACCCGACCGGTGCTTCCCTCAGTGCTGAAGACATCAAGGGTGTGCTCGACCTGGCTGCGGAGGAGAAGCTGGTGGTCATTGCGGACGAAGTCTACCAGACCAACGTCTTCACCGGCGAGTTCATCTCCTTCAAGAAGAGACTCCGTCAGCTGCAGCAAGAAGTGCCCGGCAAGTACGACAGCGTGGAGCTGGCCTCCCTGCACAGTGTCTCCAAGGGCATGGTTGGTGAGTGTGGTCACCGTGGTGGCTACTTTGAGCTGGTCGGATTCGACCCCGAAGTTGCGGCCCAAGTCTACAAGTACGTCAGCATCATGCTCTGCCCGCCGGTTATCGGTCAGTGCCTGGTCGAGCTGATGGTGAACCCTCCCAAGGAGGGTGAGCCCAGCCGTGCCGTGTACGAGAAGGAGTACAATGGCATTCGTGACGGTCTGCGCAAGCGTGCTTTTGCTTTGTACGAAGCCTTCCAGCGCATGGAGGGTGTTGAATGCCAGGAGCCCCAGGTATGTAACTCTGGACAGTAGATTATCCTACGGACAGTTCACTAACCAATGACTCCAGGGCGCCATGTACCTCTTCCCCACTATCACCCTTCCCCCCAAGGCCGTCGAGGCTGCCAAGGCTGAGAACCGTGCCGCCGACGAGTTCTACTGCCTCCGTCTCCTTGACGCCACCGGTGTCTGCGTCGTTCCCGGCTCTGGTTTCGGCCAGAAGGAGAACACCCTGCATTTCCGTACGACGTTCTTGGCCCCTGGAACCGACTGGGTTGAGCGGATTGTCAAGTTCCACTCGGAGTTCATGGCCAAGTACAAGTAAGCAGAACTGGTAGGTATACCAGCTGCACGCGTTATGAATATATAGAGCTATACCATTTTCTTGTTAGAAGACGGACATATCAAATAGAAACCTATTAATATCCGAGAAGCTGCCACTTTCCTCGGTTGTCTACCTCACATGCCGACAGTTCCCTGAGTGCTCAACTAAGTAACTCAAACGAAGACAGACGGCCATCATTTACGTAAATGTGTCTCAGGAGGCAGTAGAGTAAAAGTTTGTCTGTCATAGTTTTGGCGCAATAGTAGTTTGCTAATGTATGATTAAATAACTCACTCAATAGTGTCCACTTTGCATCGACGTTGAGTTACCCCACGGGCCCATCCCCAAACATCAATCAATTGCCGTCCAAGTGGAGACCACCCACCACACCATGACCCAGATTTCTGGAGTGGAACCGATGGGATGAGTGAATGAAAAATGATTCCGGGGCCGAGGGTAGCCGATCCACTCGATATTCTCTAGTTTATTTTGGATCGAACATGTGCGGGATTGTGGGTGTTTAGAGTAGGGTTTTATGCATATGTTGATTTCATCGAAGTGAGTAATATCGACTTGGTGGTGGGTGGTATTTGGCTGATTCTAGGATATGTTGGAAAATCTGTCAGTTAAGCCCGGCTTTCAGGATTGATTTATCACTCTACTATTGATTCCATAGTAGCTAGATTAGTTGGGTGGCTAGAATGAGGCCTTGATTATTACCCTTAAGGTATTTAGATAGGGTGAAGCCTAAGGAACGGGCATTGCGAAGTGGAGGGATTGTTTCATTGGATTTGGTGGGAGGTAATTGTAAAGATGGCTCATCATCTGGAGTCGCGCAATGCGGAGAAGCTCGAACAGACAACTTCTCAGATAGTTAGTTATATCTTTTTGTGAGTTAAGAGGTCTAGTACTCTTGCTGCTAAAATTTCTACATGTATGAGCGATGATAGGTCGGATTTCTAGTTTAGTATACTACTAGGAGTGTGATACCCGGATCCGCGATAGTAAGATCCCAATACTTGGTGTGCTGTCATGTAGTCAGAAACAGAGGATAACTTATTCATATTATATTGTTCTCATTAGCAGAGGGCGATAAATGATGTCATGAAGTACAAATGGCCGTCTTGAGGGAAGGATGATCCTTTGACATCTAATGTGAGTATTGTGAGTCAGAAGCTGCATAATCCTTATTTTCAGTTATTGCATGACAGCGTCCATATCATGATAGATATCATGATTTTTGTATATCTTAAGGAATGGGAACGCGCCTAGATACTAGTTATTATCTCCCACGCGATTTGTTATTCATATAGTCCATTAGTCCAATCGATCTGAAGTCATTGGAAATGATTATGTCATCCACCCCCGCCTTCAGGCGCAACTTATCGCGAATTCCTCAACAAAGTGCGCCAGGGAGCAGTCTTGTGTCGCAAACAAGCACTAGCCATCCTGTACCCCCTCTAATAAAGGCATGCTCAAAAGACTCAACATCAAATACTTCAGGCACATCGTTGATTTCGAACATGGGTGACAAGGATGACGGTCCGCTACAGGTTAGTCTGCCTAAAATTGTGCGCGCCTTTCGCCAACACAAACGCAATGGCCGGTGCCAAACGGGATGTAAACAGCTGATGCTGAGATCGAATCGCGTCGTAGGACCTGGAAAAGACATACTGCCCTCCTCTGGACCCTGCCTTGCTCACAGCCATCGCCTTCGACTATGACCTTACAGACTCTGCTCAACTTGGCCAACTGCGCGAGACTCTTGATGCACTTCGGCTGTCTGCATGGGAACAGGAGGATTTACCCTTCGACCCCTCCGGCACGTCCGGTTTAGGTGCAGGACATGGCCTAGAAGCGGATGGGTCCTCTGAGCTTAGTGAGTCCCAGGGAGACCGGTCGCGGGAGACAGATGTCACTAGCCTCACGTCGGGCTTCTCTTCGGTCGGTATCAGGGACCATGTCTCGTATACTATTGGACCGGATGGGTCTCTCCATCTATCCGGAGCGAATGAAGAGGATAAGATCGGCTATTTGACTGAGATGTTCCCGTCAGTTGACCGGTTTACAATCCAGCACACATTGAAGAAGTCTAATGGGGACATTGATCGCTCGATGGACGTCCTTCTCAACTTGTCGTTCTTTGATGAGCAAGTACCTGATGAGGATGGGGTGGTCACTGTCCCTAAGGGGGTGGATGGCTTTGATGACCCGAGAGCAAGCAAGAAGCAAGCTCGTAAGCGTAAACCCAAGAACAAGAATGGCCGAAGACAAGAGGTCCTATCATCCATGAGCTCTGAGGCTAGTTTCGAGAACACAACGAACAAGTGGGATGCTGCTGGAAAGGACGTTGAGTTCATTCATGCGCGAACCTCGGCGATACTGAAAAAGGAGACCGTCCGCTCAACTTATCACGCTAATGGGGCCTCACTTCCTGCTACAATCAGGGCTCTTGCCGATACACACGCCCCTAAGAAGCAGATCGATGAGGATCCGGTGACGGTTACGCAAGTGGCCGAGCTTACGCAAGAATTTCCGTCGGTGCCACCGCTCACATTTGCCGGCTTGCTTAAAATCACGAGAAGTTCTGTATCAGCCGCCAGTGAGCTCGCGGCGGCTATGCTGACAAGCCCCGTGGCTCCGTCCATAACTGAGATAATCAAGATCACCACAGCACCCCCACCAGTGGACGTTGACGAGGAGATTCCGAAACGAGGCGCTGCGCCGGTCACCCGAGACCTCAACCGAGCAAGAAGTGCAGCAGGCGTGCATTTTGCAGCTGGTGCTGAGGCACTGTCAAAAGCATCGGTAGCATATCGGCGCGGTAAATCAGATCGGTTGATGGGAGGTGCGGCTGCCTACTACTCCGCAGTAGGACGAGACCACTTGGAACGAGCCAAACGCAATGCCGCTGCTGCCGCCGATGCCCTGGTAGACACACAGTCTACATGGAACTCGCTGGATCTGCATGGTGTATCTGTACAGGATGCAGTGCGGATCGCTAGCGAGCGGGTGTCTGAATGGTGGGACTCTCTAGGCGATGCCAAATATTCGCGTGGAAGTGGAGCTAGAGATCCTATTCAGGGTGGCTATCGCATTGTTACTGGGCTTGGACGGCATAGTCATGATGGCACTTCACGCTTGGGCCCGGCTGTTGCAAAGATGCTGGCCCGAGAAGGCTGGAGGGTAGAGATTGGTGCCGGAGTTTTGACCGTCGTTGGAGTTGTCCGACGTCGCTGATGCATGGCATGATGGATTTTGGTTACCCTTTTGATGTCCCCATTTAGCGGCTGATGCATACGAGATACCCGGAGGCGTTCATGTAGAGAGAGCGAATCTAGAAGGAGCGCTTTTGCTAGACATTCGATGTACATAACATCTGCTGTACATACATGCATACAGGACTTGAAGACAGGCATTCTCATGATGATTTGATGAAGACAAGGTTAGCTTCTGGTGCTCTATAAATCGTAGGCGATATTGATATAAGAAAAGATAACTGATAGGGAGTTTTGGTGTTTCCGTCCGGATGACGTAAAAAGACCAAGCAAATCAAAGCTTCAGCGGCGACCTTCAATCAAAGCGACTAACTAACTTTCCTTCACTATTCTTCCATGAGACTCTCTTGTTGTCAGTGACTAACTGTCATACCTATCTGCTACCTCCCACTAATTCGTTCCATATCAATTCACACCCCGATGCGCTTCCAGGGCCTGATCCCCGCCCTCCGCACCATCACACTACCCCTCCGATCGCACTCGGTCCGAGCCCTCCAGCGACCTCCTCTCCCCATCCCCAGCGCAACTGTCCTCAAAGCCGGTCCCACGATCCCCTTCCTAGGCGCATTATTCGGATCTAGCGCGAAATCCGACTCCCAGTCTAACAACATGTCCTATCCCGACCAGCGCAGTGATGATGCATGGCAAGCTGTGCTAAGTCCTGGTATGTATGCCTTTATTCTCATTTTCTACCTACTTGCCCCTCATCTGCTCCACGGTGCTAGCTTTCTATTGGTATAAAGAAAAAAACTAACTCAAGCCAATAAAAGAGCAATTTCGAATCCTCCGCCAAAAGGGCACGGAGCGACCCTTCACGGGCGAATACGATTCCCACTACCCTTCCCAGGGAGTCTATAACTGCGCGGGATGCAATGCGCCGTTGTACAAGGCAACACATAAATTCAAGTCAGGATGTGGATGGCCTGCGTACTTTGATTCCATCCCCGGGGCGGTTACAAGACATACGGATCGGTCGTTCGGAATGGAACGCACGGAGATCGTGTGTAGTAACTGTGGGGGACATTTGGGACATGTGTTTAAGGGAGAGGGATATTCGACTCCCACGGATGAGAGGCATTGTGTGAATAGTGTTAGTTTGCGGTTTAAGGAGGATGAAGGTCAGGGGAACTAAAAGGGGGTGGAAGGCAAATGGGGAAGGTTCGGTGTAGAGTACTGTAGTTGTATGACGAAGAGATGAAGAAATGAGAAGAAGATGAAGAAGAAGATGATGATCGTCGCTGTTTGTCTGCGACACTGGTAACTCTCATACAATCAATCAAAGGCAATCAATCTAGATCAAACGGCATCGCTGGCACGTGCCGCTGGCCGGTCGGAGGTCAACCCACCGCCTACAGAATTATGATGCCTGAGGCCAACAAGACACCGCAACCCGCCACTTGGTGGCCCTTGACGTCTCTCCGTTTCAACTCCCCTTTATTATTGCGTCTCCTTTCTCTCCTCTCCGGTTGCATTCCCTGGTAATTCGACTCGGACTGCGTCCATAGCTGTGATGTCTCGACGTGCTACGCCGTCCCAGGCTGCTCAGAACCAGCAGATCATCAAGAGTCTGCTGAAACTCGAACAAAACAAGATATGTGCCGATTGCAAGCGCAATAAGCGTTAGTGACTCCCCGCGGATAACTCCAAACCTACGCCTGTTGTGTTTTGGTACCACAGACCTCGTTCAATGTGAACGATCTGGTGAATTATGCGATCGCTAGCTAATAACTTTCTTCTTAGATCCTAGATGGGCATCATGGAATCTGGGAATCTTCATCTGTATCCGTTGCTCGGGCATTCATCGCGGCATGGGCACCCATATTAGTCGGGTGAAGTCAGTCGACCTTGACTCATGGACGGACGAACAACTTCAAAGTGTCATAAGATGGGGAAATGCTAGGGCCAACAAGTTAGTGTCTCATGGCATTTTGGGTGTATTCAGGCTTTAAGCTCATTGTCTATGGCAGATATTGGGAAGCGAAACTGGCACCCGGTCACGTCCCCTCGGAAGCGTAAGTGGATAACTTCCCCGCATATTGGTCAGTATCATAGCGTCATGGCTAAGTGGATGCCTTGAACAGGAAAATTGAGAACTTCATCCGGACAAAGTACGAGTCCAAGCGATGGGTTATGGACGGCCCGATGCCCGATCCTAAGACCCTGGATATTGGCGACGACGACGTGGTAAGTTATCCGGAGTTGTGTAACGTTATATGATGAGAACTAACACATGTCGTCAAAGCCTCTCGCAGTGGTTCAAGAAAAAGCGAAGATTGAACGCTCCGCTTCTCAGCGTGTGGCCGCGTCTAGTCAACCCGCAGTCCATCGCCAGCAACAGTCCATCGATCTATTCGCCGACGACGATATCGCCCCTCCCGCGCGCCCTAGCACAACAGAACCCACCCCCCGGGCACCACCTAAGCAACCACAGTCTGCTCCTGCTCCTAAGCCAGCGGCTCGTCCCGGGGATTCGTTGCTGGGTCTGGACTTCTTCGGAAGCACTCAGCCTGCTCCTACCAGCCGCCCAGCTAGTACGGCCTCGACCCCCACCGGCTCGACCGGGATGTCTAGGCCCGATCTGAAGCAGTCGATTCTTTCGCTATACTCAAAGCCCCCGCCTGCTACGACGCAGCACGAGCGTACATCTTCATTTGGCGATCTGGCATCCCCCGCACCGGGTTCATCGGCCTCTAACATGGGTGGCTTGACCGATGCTTTCAGCGGACTGAGCATTCCCTCGTCCGCCTCCCCTCCGGCCCCTAAACCGGCCGAGAAACCCTCACCTTTCGCTAACTTGACGAGCTTTGCCAACATGAAGTCTACGCCAGCAGCTCCCAAAGTGTCTTCGCCCACTGCCTCCGTTGGAAGTGGAGGTGGTAGTCTGTTTGATAGCCTCACTTCTCCCACTGTTCCCCCGCCGAAGCCGCAGTCCCGGACCGCATCGATCTCGTCGAACGGTCTGGACGCGGGTTTCACCAGCTTTGCGTCTCCTCCGCCGCCAAAGCCTAACCCCCCTAAGTCGCCCTTGTCTGACGACTTGTTCGGGCTTTCTTCGCCGGCCCCGGCCCCGCCGGCTGCAGTCTCGCCTCCATCGGCATTCACGTCTACCTCTCCGCAGCAGGAGTTGAAGTCTGCTTTCAACCTTACCCCAGCTCCCGCCCCGGCCCCGGCTCCGAAGCCATCAGTGGCTAGCACCACCTCCGTTGCGAGCGTGCTTCCTCCAAGTACCATTGATCCCTGGGGAGGTAATGCGTGGAGCACCCCGGAACCTGCGCCCGCAGCACCTGCCGCTTCGGCTTCGATGATGAAGGTGCCTGACACTCTGACTGCCAATGATATCGGTGCGGGCTGGGGCGCTCCGGCTTTGTCGGCCGGTTCCAAGCCGGCCCCAACTGTCGCTGCCGATGAGGACTTTGGCGGATGGGCCAGCGCGGCACCCATCTCGTCGACCACCACCACTACGACTACCACCACTAATGCTCCTTCCAAGCCGGCGGGCGGGTTTGGCGGAGCGGACGATCTATTTTCTAATGTTTGGGAGTAAGGGCTGTGCGCCATCTCGCTTTTGCCTCTTTGCACATATTTGTGGTGTTTATCGTCTATCTAATAGACTTGAGCGGCAGGTTTCCAATGTCATTTCATTTCTATTCCGTTCTTATCCATTGTAGCCGCTTTCTCCTTGCTTGTCTCCCATTCTCTGCTTTGGTGCCGTGCTTCTTCTCTTTTTCCTTTCCTTTCTCACGCATGCCTAGGGATGGACATTGGGTTCGGATTGTAAAATGGGTGGGGTTACGGGTCCATACTTTAATGTAGTCATGCCATACGTGTCATTTATTCCCAATGCATCCTTGCATATTTACGACACACTTTAGACTCGGGGTTGGATGGCTGTAGTTGCTGTTGTAGATGTGTGGGCGCCAAGTCGATGCTGGGAACCCGCACAAGCACGATAATTGAGTTTAATACCTGGATGTCTGATTGATAGCTTGTCATTTACCTCTATCAGCATCAAGTTTATGTCACTATCACATCTGCCGTGGCATACAAAGCAAATAGAAGAGTAGATCGTAGTTTTGAATGAAGCGCAGGGCAGAAATTGTGGGTCCTGAGGCCGCCACGGGCGATCCATCCATGGATTGGGCCCAATAGTAATCATCCATCCTACCTTCTTCTTCCTTTTGCTCTGCGGCTTATCTCGTGTCACTCTCCAGAATATCTGCTCCTTCAATTGATCACCCTCTTCATCCAGGCTCTCAGAAATGAGCCATGTTCGGCCTTTGTAAACTTCAAATAGCAGTCTATGATTTCCCATTTGACCGGCAACTAGCACAAAGTTGGCCCATATAATAATGAATCATTCCGATCAGACAGCAGACGAAGCAGGCAACGTTCCGTCCGCGCACTCCACCAACAAGCCCAAAGTGCGTCTGAGCTGTGAAACCTGTCGGCAGCGCAAAGTCAAATGCGACAAGCTCAACCCATGCACGAACTGCCAGCGTCTCGGAACGAGATGCGTTCCCGTTGAACGGGCACGTCTGCCACGCGGCAGATCCGGCAGACCAGCAACGGAGCGACCAGGCGACCAAGATGCGAACCTGAAGGACCGTGTTTCAAAGCTGGAAAGCATCATCCGTGAACTTGCTCGCGGGGGCAGTCAGGCCTCCGCTCGGGCTATTCTAGCTGCTGCTGTCGATGAAGGCTCACAGGCTGGCTCGTCGGATGGAGAGCATGGCGATGACGATGACTCGCAGCCCGGTCGTGTTCGGACTCCTGATACGTATTTGGGGTCTTCGTTCTGGGCTAGTCTTCTGAATGAGGTGAGCCCATGGTTAAGCTTGATTACACGTGCCCAGTAATCTGATTTACTTAGTTAACTCCTGGACAGGTGCCGGATGTACATCCCAGTGAGCAAAGTGGTTCAAAGGAAGACCACCGTAATGCTGAGAACAGCAACCTAACCAACTACCGTCGACTTTTCTCCATGGCAAGCGGCAGTGACTCTACAAACAGCAATTCTCCAGCCCCCTCGCCTGCCCATCAGCAGCTATGTTGTGTATTCATGCAGAGGGTAGACCCGCTCTGCAAGATCCTCCACAGGCCCTCGGTGAAGGAATTTCTCGTGGATGGAAAGCCCTACCTGGACTATCAGCCAGGCCATCTGGCCCCGACTGCTCTGGCATATGCCGTGTACTTCGCCGCCTCATGCAGTCTCCACGACGAAGAGAGCATGCGCTGCTTCGGCATCCCCAAGTCATCCATGGTAGCAAAGTATCAAAAAGAAGCCGAAGCAGCACTCGCCCGGGCAGACTTCATCACCACCAACGACCTCACCGTCCTACAAGCCTACGTCCTCTTCCTCGTACGTTCTTTCTCCCGCGCTATTTACATCCATACCACTAACCCTTCCTTTCCAGCTCGCCCTCCGCTCCCAAGACCAAAGCCGCCGCATGTGGACCATGCTCAGCATGGCCCTACGCATCGCGCAAGCTCTCTCCCTCCACATCCCCGACCCTCCATTCCACGTAACCCCCTTCGAGCGCGAACTACGGCGCCGTGTCTGGCTTGCCATCGGCTTCCTCGACGTCCAAGCATCAATGGACCGCGCCTCCGAGCCAATGATGCAAGCCGCCTGGCTAGAATCCCACCCGCCAGCAAACGTAAACGACATTGACATAAGCCCAACCATGACCTCAAATCCACCCGACTCCCCGGGCTTCACAGACATGACCTTCACAATGATGATCCGTAAAGCTCAATACGTAACCCGATCGCTCAACTTCTCCGACTTCATGGAACCCTCCATCAACACGCTCGCCATCCGCCAACAACTCGTCCTCGAATTCCAACACTCCGTCTCCAAACTCCTCGCCCACGCCTCCCCCACTACAAATTCCCTACATTGGCTCACAACAGCCGTAGCAGAATGCACCTACGCTTCAATGCAACTCATCACCCTGCGACCCCTCCAACGCGCCCCAAACTTCACCCCGCCCCTCGTCCGTGGCGACCGTCTCCTCGAATTCGCAGTCAACGTGCTCACCAGTTCGCATCGTCTCCGCTCAGATCCTCGTTGTGCTACCTACAAATGGATCGAGTTCGCCTTCCCACCATGGCATAGTCTGGCCGTTGCGCTGGCAGAACTCTGCGTCTGCGACGACAAAGCCGTCATGGAACGCTGCTGGGATCCGGTCGAGTACACCTTCCAACATCTGGGAAGAGTAATTGCTGATTCGCAACGTGGGATGCTGTGGAAACCTATGGTGAAGCTGATGGATAGGGCGAGGGATAGGCGGAGGGAGCTACTTTCCACATCTACTACTATTTCTTCCGGCACTGGCTCTGGTCCTTCTTCATCCAACCTCAATCCTAGTTCGGTTATCAGCTCAGAGCAGTTTTCTCCACTGGATTTATCTATCCAGCAACAGCAACAGGAGCAGGAGCAGCAACAGTCTATGTCTATGCAGATAGACACGCAAAACTTCATGCACACACCTGAGAACAGTAGTCTTGATGGTGCGGCAGCGGCAGCGGCAGTCGCTGCGTCTGCGTGGCCGAATGTCTGGGACGCGGTGGATTTCAGCTACACGGGTCCAGGACTAGGAAGTATGCAGATGGCGTGGGCGAATTACGAGAACTTTGTTGCGGATTTCTATGTGAATGTTGATGATCCGGAGATTAACCGGTGATTGTTGATCTGAATCACCCACCCTATCTTCCTTTCTATCGATCTATCTAAGCCGGAGGATAGATATACGAAGGGAGTGCAACTACGTGGAACATATAATGATGAGGGAATGAAACCCAAGCCGTGCAAATGGCACACATTCGGTCTAAGAAGGTCATTGTGGGAAGCATTACACTAATCCCACCACCCCGTTACCTAACCTAACCTAACCTAACCTACTACTCCCGCCTATCATACACTCGTCGAACCTAGGCATGCAGCAGCAAGGACTGCGCGAGCGAAACGAGAATACTGTGAATGAAGCTTAAAAGAAAGAAAAGAAAAGAAAAACCGGGATAACACAACAGCCCCATCACCAGTTCTACCGTCACCAATCAATCAATCCTCCGCCATCCCATTCCGGACGCCTAATTCATGTCAGATTGCCGATCAAGCTCCCCTCTTACCACCGTTACAAGAAAATAGGATGAATATCATATCAAACTCCACTCTCCAAAACGTCATGCCCTGACTACTACCATACACAACGAACAGGTAGGAAGGAGACTTTATTGGGACTCAGTGTACCCCTCGCTCGGGGAAAGGGAAATAGTTTTGAACTGGAAAGAGTTCACCACACCATCGCACGAAGAGAAAAAAAGGAGAAAATAAAAGGAAAATTCCAGGGTATTTGTACAACAATATATCAAAGTAAAAGTAAAAGGAAATGAACTGAAAACTCAGCAATGCAATAGTCAGCCAGATGAAGATGATAACATGAAAGTTCGTTCGTTGCTCGAGGCTCGCTGCTTACTGCATGCAGCCCCCATGTCACGCGTTCATTTTTCAATAGTAATCCTCTTTCTCTATTATCATAATCAATTCAGTGAGTTCCTTACGCAGCGACCGGTTACGGTCCCACGTTTCCACAATCTTCGGCCGGTGACTGAGGAAAACGGCTTTCTTCCACGAGAGGCCATTGTATTTCTGAGCCATGCCGGTCGGTAAGTTCCGGGCGATATTGCGCAGCACCAACGCCGCCTTGTAGGCCACACCGAAGGGTTCGGCTCTCTCATTGACCGGCGTATCCATGTAGAACCATTTGCGGACGATCCGCTCCTGAAGTACAGCACGCTTAGAGATCGGGGGTTCTGCATCAGCAGGGCGCTCTTCAGGCAGGTGTGATGCCACATGACCCGCTACCATGGCGGTATTGTTGCTGGGGCCGGAAGAACGGAACCGGGTGCAGTTATCCCAGAGGCACGTGTGAATCGGGGATTCGGCATTGTCCAGATTGTAGTGGCCTGGCGTGTCCGTAGGCTTGAGCTCCATGTGGTCGGCGAAAACGTGGTTGCGCAGGTCGGTGGGAGTTGTGAAAGCGCGCTGGCAGGTTTTGGTGGGCTTCGAGTTGTCGGCCCATTTGCAATATTGGTAGGGGAATCCCTGGAAGGTGTAGGCTGTTTCTAACGGACGGATGCCCTTGATGATAAAGCGAGTCGCCGCGCCAGGGCCGTTGATGACCTGCGCTTGCGCATTGGTGAATGTCGTGCTGACATTCTTAATGAATTCGGCGGCAGGGAGGACACCACCACCCGGAACACGGGGGTCTGCGAATCGGCTCTGGTATGCCTGCCACAGAGCTATTTGAGTAATTTCGCATTCAGCATCCTCAACGAAGCAACAACGCAGCCAGCGTGAGCTACGTTCCGGCTCTTGTAGCTCCATGAGATCCTTCAGTAGTTCTGCCGGCACACGAGGGATCTCGGATGGCGGCGGTGCGACTTTCTCCTCTTGCAGAACGGTCTCTTTCTTGCTGGGACGCGCTTCGTGAGTTAATAGGGCGATCATTCGCGGAACGAACACGCTTGGGAAATCGAAGATGTCAAGCATGGTCTCGATGTTCTCGCGGGAAAGCGTGTACTGGTACCAAAAGTCCAACGCTCCGCTGAGGATATCCTTGTCCAAGTCCAGAAGCGTGTGGAAGTACATCTGTTGCAGGGATTGTTTAGGCATGCGTTCCAAGGCTTGGTTACCCTCAGAATCGTTGATTTCAGTGGAGAAATGGGTGAGCGCCCAGAGCGCCCGGACGACGTGGGCACGATCTGGGGACTCGAGGCAGTGGAGGAGAGAGATCCAAAGCGGGTCTTCAGGGTCGGTCCTCATGAACTTGGTAACCTCTTCCGCAATGTCTAACGCATCGTTCTTGATTTCGTTGAGGCGAGGCTGGTTGGGAAGATTGAGCAGTATGACCAGGAAGTCCCTCAAAAGTCCCTTCGCATAACGTGAGACATAGAACGCGTTATCTGGGAGTAGAACCATGTTCCGGAGAACCAGGGTAGCTTCTTTGACATTCCGTAGACGGTGGTTGAACTCGTGCGTTTCGAGAGTATCACTTGGCAGGGTGACGGGAATTCTCTTAATCCTCTCGAGCAAATCGCGTGTTCCATGTAGCGAGTTGAGGACATTAACACGCTCCATAGGATGGCGGTATTCGTACTGGAGTTCCCATTTTACGCCCGTGCATATTATGGAGACATCAATGGCTTTTTCCATCAGAGTTTCGGCCAGCAAAGGGAAACCCTCGAACTTGAATTTGTCCCAGCGCTGGTTGGAAATCTGAACAAGATGGTACAGAGCGAAATCGACCTCATCTGATATACCAGATTGTAGGCCGTAGTGGGCGCGCTTATAGATATGGTCCGCTATAGGGTGTCAGTGGTATTATCGTCATAATCATGGGTTGCTGCAAAGGCCTACGCACACTTGGGGACCTCGAGGTATCTGAGGGGAAAGTAAGGGTCGTAGAAATCAGGTTGTTTAGCCACTTTGCCCGGTACGGTGAGAAAGAGGCCCGGCCTGTTGCCTGGGGTTGCTACTTCGCGTGTGTTCATAGGTACTTTCTGCTCTTTGCCGTCCCAGCCCTCCGTGGGTAGATGTGAATTGTTTGAGTTGGGCGCGGGGGAATTCGAATGCGTTTGTGACATCGAGCTTGGCTGAGGTGATTGATTTGAGTTGTGGTGTGAGCGCCGAACCGGAGCAGTATCGGGAATGAATGGTTGATTGGCCTTGGGAGCCTGCCGCAAGCCCTCTACGGACGGTTAGCACTGGTCGTCCAACAAAGACGCGAGTGACAGGGCAAAATGAGGGTGATAGCACTTACCTCGGAGGGACGTGCGGGGGGTTTGGGAAGACATGTTGGCTTTGACTCGAGCACGCCAAAAACCGATTGAGTGTATCGCTCCGCGCCTTCGAAGGGGATAACCGGTTCTGTAGGGCGCCCTGGAATACCTCTGAGAAAGACCAAGGTCGACCCAACGGACCCAGTCTATTGATCAAGGGCACCTTTCGCAAAAGAAGCGCGAGACCTCCTTACTGGACGCGCCAAAAAAGGTTGGACTCGAAAATGCTCCGTTTGTCGAAGGCCGTTTTCTTGTCTTTTTGGAAAATCGTTCCACCCTTTCTAAGACGATCGGAGTATGCTGGCGTAAAATCGGTATTTCGTCGTGTTTCAAGGAGTTTGTTCGCCAGCTGGGTTCGAGGGATGCTTTCCGGTGACGGGCTGAAAGCTGGGTCGCGATATGAAGCTATCGGAGAACTGCCTATTTAAAACCAGAGAGGATGCGACGACGGGACAACAACAGACGTTCGCGTGAGAAGCGCTCTGGGATTCAATCAAAAGAGCCACTGCGCGGATGATCGAAGAGTAGCAGCGACAGATATAACCCGGAAACAGGCGTCAATTCCTTGGTCGAAAGCCGGGGGAGAGAGGGCGCAGCGTAAATATGAAGACAAGCTGATCCTGCGATCGATCCGTCCGTCGTTCATCCGCAGGGCAAAAGTCCGCGCTGCTCCTTCTGGCCTCAGGCGCGTGGCCGGAGTCTTGGTTGTTCCGGAATGCCCGTTCCCGGTCATGTTTGTCTGGTTTGGCGGGATGAGTAATGCCCACCACAATGGAGTGCCTGAATCACCACCACATATATCAGGCACCCACTATACATGTAGATCAGGGTTCGTCGATCATCCTGGCTTGCATTGGTCGATTTCACTTGTTCTTCCTTATTTCAACCTCCAGTGTAGGAGGGAGAGTGTGCTAACTTTGGTTTCTTATATCGCATGCATCTGCCTACTGATGAGCCCGTTAACCGAGACCTGGTAGTATCTACATGTGAAAATTGAACTATGTGTCAAAGTAGCGCACTCACCAATATCTGACTCCCTACCAATTGCTGAACAATTTACCTAAAAACTACTATGACCTTCATTATCCGATATCTGATACTATGGTTTTCTGTAAAGATGCGCGTTACCCGAGTTGACGATATTAGGCCTAGCCTCCAGTCACCTGCTCTATATAGTACCCCTCATCCACCCCTTCATATCTGCCACCAAAGTCTGTCTCTTATATAATTCTATTATATATCATGTTAACATCAACAATTAGTTCTTGTCCTTCCATATCCACATCCCAGTCCGCATGATGCAGAGCCTGACCCCACAAACTCCCGATTCAACCGTCCTCACTCGTTTATCCTTAGCCAAATTCTCCCATACAACTACATCGCTTACTCACAGGGGCCCTCTCAACTGGAGCCATATAATGGGAAACGGAGATTTGACCGCTATATTCGAAAAGCGTACAATGACAAGCTTCACCCCAGACAGAGTACTATTGAAGGTCCTTCGTGTCCATGATAGCCTGGTAATACTCATCCGGGGAATTGGAACAGAAGAAAATTAGGTGCTAATCAGAGCAATCATCAGGAAGATATTGACCTTACTCACTTCATCATTGAAGCCGGAAATATAAGCCGGCCGAGTCAAAACGCAATTTCCAAGCCAATATTCGCAGTAGTCGTAAAGCCACCGTGTCTTGCAGTGAAATATCCACGGGGAAATACGGTATGATGATATACTATCGAGACTGATTCGTAACCAACATCATCATAGGTTCGCCGATTCCAGATCAAGTTCACCTTTGACCCCGACTACTACACCGCGTTGTCTATACTTGGGGAAATAGGGTGTCCAGTGTCAGAGCCTAGCGTCGGGTACATGCGCAAACTGACCTCATCACAGTGGAGCTTGGGATCGATCGAAGGGAAATCTATGGTCAGAGAACCTCCATATGTGTTGAGTAGTATGTCAGGTCCATCTGAGCCCGTGGGTGCTTCTACTCTCCAACGGCCATCAACCACCAGTGCATCAGGTTCGTCATCTAGCGTTACAGCTTGTGGGTTTTCCAACGTCATTGGCGCAGTGCTAGATATCTGACACTAACAGGCAACTCATTGCCATCTACGTCCTGGAGCGCTGCTCAAACAAGTGATACCACCTGTGCTCGAGGGAGCAAAAATGAAAATGCTTTGTCAATAGCACAGACACATCTCCAACACGCCCCAGCAGTCGACCGGAAGGACGTGAGGAACTCTGACAAATTGACCACGAGACCGTTCACCTCGTCAGCTGCTGAACGTCTTCTCGAACCAGAGATAGACATACCACCACGGAGAATTCTTCCATGGTCGAGTACCTCCAAGAGAGCCAATATCACACCAAAAGCACCACCCGCTTTCCCACACGCAGCAGTAACAGATGCTACCTCGTCCAACATAGGTACGGGAGTTAGATTCCAAGTTCGTCACGTCTATACGTGCGCTAACTCTGTGTCAAAGCAGCAGATGCAACCAACAATTCTCAAATACCTACTAACCCATTCCAAAATACACAATCACACCAGATGAGATTGCAAACACAAACACGACCAGCCACATCATGCGAAAGAATTACCATGCCCCGACTACGACTACTCCCACCAGCCCTACCCAAAGTCAATAATGATAGACAAATGCCTCACCCAGAGTCGGGATCACATATACCATCTCGCACAGGATCATATAACCAGCCTAAGTGCCTACAAACAGCATTTGTTTCATCTTGTCCATCTACCAGCAGCAATTTACAAGCAGACAGAGCTGAAGCGAACAAATTCCCGGCAGGACATCAAGGGGAGGCTCATCAAGAGAAGAACTCAGCTGACCGGATAGCAGCAGATCTATCCTCGTATATATCCGCTCCCACGGAAGAGCGTATGGCTAGTTTAGAAACGTGGATATGCAAGCAGATTGAAGACGATGGGTTCCTCGAGCTTTGTAGGGATGTAGAAGGTATATGGCAGAGAATTGCGTTCGGTAGATAAGATAAGGCTTCCATGATTAATTTGTTTTGTTGTTTAAATGTATATTACATGGCATAAGGAATTGAAATTGATGGATTATGTATGTAGATGAGGACATTACAGAGATGGGTAACTGAAGCTAATATGAATTATTCGATGGGTTACGCTTCAATTATCTGACAAAGGAAGCAAGTATAATATTCATTTAGCTATACAGGGCCACGAAAAGAAGAAAATAATTGCGCTAGTCACAGAAAAACAATCATTAATATGGTAGGTAAAGTTGATCATTTTCTTTTCCGGGAGAGGGATAAAAAGAGAAGAGAAGGATCCAAGCCAAATTGAATCAACTCAAATTTTTTTTCAAAAAGACAACCATCACTGAAACACATTCCATTCGATCGATCCTAGTATACGACCCAGTTTACCGGCGACGATAGATCAACCCAGAGAAGACGTTGAGGTAACCTTCCTTAGTGAGGAGAGTGAAATCCACGACCACGTGACCATGCGGTTGCGCAGCCGATGCCATGTTGGGGGATGTGGCATTCATATTGTGTTCAGAGATTGCAGGGGGTGGAGAGGAGGCGTTGGCGGCTACTTGGCCTTCCGCACCGACAGCCAGATCAGCAAGGTGTTGGAGAGAGCGCTGCTCGTTCGGACCCATCACTGGTGGAGCTGCAGAGCCGCTCTTGCCGAGGCTGGGGTCATGGAGCTGGGTCTCCTGAGCTTTGGTTCGTCTCCATTCCAGGAAGACGCGAATCTTCGAATCCCAGCCGGGAGTGCCGAAGATGTCGCCATACTCTCCCGACTCAGCGGAACGTTTGGAGCGGTAGTCGAGGATCTCTTCGAGCTTTTTGAGCGCCTCCCAGCATTGGTTCGAGTATTCGGGAAGCACAGTAGCCTCGAGAAGAGTCATGGATGCCAGCGCAAGACTGTGCAGGTCGAAGGGTGTCGCCAGGCGGGACTGCATACTGGCCTTGTGCAATTCGTTGATAACCTCTTCCGCGGCGTAGATTATTTCGTATGGACTGTGAACGAATATATGCCGCTTGATCAGTAGGCGACTGGTCCAGTACAGCTGGTTTTGTAGACTTTCAAAAAAGCCATAAGATGTGCCATCCTCGGGATTCTCGTGCGGTTTGCGGAAATCTGCTACCTCGGCCAGACGCTCGAGACCCGCGACCATGTTCGCTCCAACCAGACGACCCAGCCCTGTGTTTGTCTGGCATACGTTGTGCTCTTGGGCGACAAGAGTGACCATGTCGATGAGGATCGTAGAGTACGATGCAATCCCCGCAGTGGCTGAGCCGAGGACTCTCTCGTCCTCACGGCCACCGATTTCGAACGTTCCCAAAACACTATAATCAGCAACGCTAATTGCATACCAGCGAGACAGAAGGGCCAGAGAGACCCAACTGCGCCTTACGAGGTTTGCGTCAGAGTCAACGTCTGGATCTGACGATCGCTTGGTTCTCAGCTGCCCGAAGGCCTTCGCCATATCCGAGCCAAGCTTTGTCGCAGATTGAATTAGAGTGTGCTTGGGCACTCCATCCTTCATCACGAAGTTGTCTGGCCCTCGCGAGTCACAGTCAAGAATCATGAGAAGCAAGGTCTGGAACCAGACCAAGTTGATAGCTGCTGGGCGGAGCATAGCAGGCTGTCGTGTATAGTACAAGAGGAGGTCCTGTGCATTGTCGAACGATGTTACCCTCTCAAACGCATTTGTCATGCGATCCATGTTGGTACGTGTCACCGTGAGCAAGCTGTACAAAAATATCTCCTGCACCTCTCGGCTGCATTGGTGTAGAAGCTCGAGAAGCCGCTCCTTTGAGTGTGGCAGAATGGGAAGGACTGGGTGAATCTTTTGATAGTACCTGCTTGGGGTTAGAGAGCTCGCCCAACAAATATGTATCATAACCTGCTATAGAACTTACGCGTTGAGAGCGCCTTCGTCCACGTCCAAGGGTGTCATATCTTCATCCAAGGCTTGCTTAGGCACTTCAGGTATATCAAGCCCGGCCGGCAAGTCGGTCTCATTGCCAGTTGACCAGAAGAGGTTCCCGGATTTGGGTGCGGTATGATTCACGACCGAGGGATTGCAGGGATCTGTCGCGCTTTCTCCAGCCTCTAGTAGCAGGGTCAGTCTCCCAAACTTAAATAGCGACGGGCAGGTGGTCACGAACCAAAAGCATTCTGAGAGCGAGGATTGAACGGCGCCTGCGCGAAAGATGAGCTTGGGAGCCCTTCAAACACGGAGTAGGTTCTCTTGCGACCTATAGGCCCAGCGTCGATTGGTGGCGAAAAGTCTTGGTACGCTCTTGGGGAAGACACTTCGTTCATAGTCTGGTATGGCATGTCGGGATGAACCATAGCAGGTTGCATCTGACTTTCGAGGGTATGCAAGCGTTCGGCAAGCTCTTTGATGTAACTATTATCGACGTTAGCCAAACCTCCTCCTCACCGGCAAAACCCACACGCGCATCGCAATTCTTACCCTTTGCTAGGGCCACGCTTCATGGGGACACGACTGAACTGGCATACGACTCCAAGCCGGCGACAATTTGAACAAGTTTCAACGCCCGATTCGGAGCTTGCATCGCAACGGACCTGTTAGACGCAACATGTTAGCTCACCCGGTCCCGCGTCGCGTCTAGATGAGGGAAAAGAAAAAAAAGCGTGTCGAGTGTACCTTTTTGCGCCTGCATTCATCACAAGCCCGGGAAATCTTGGATCTCTTCCGCCTCGCGCTCTGGTCCCCATAGCTCAGGTCGTGGTTGGGGTCGACTCCGACTTGCTGACTCGGGGTGAATTGCAGCATATGCTGTTGTTGGTGCTGGTCGGGGGAGGACGGACGACCCATATCAGCGCCACCAGGATTGGAGGATCCTAGAACCATGGACTGACCATGGTGAACACCATTACTTGAGCCATCTGTGAGGCCAGGTCCAGAGGTCTCGCGCGAAAGCTCAGCTGACAGAAGTTCGTCGGCGGTCAACTGGCGGTTGTAGTACTGCATGGCGCCTTGGCTCATCTGCGCGGCGTTGGGGGACGGATAGGAAGGAGCCGGAGGCATATCGGCGTGGTCTCGAGAGTTCATTGTGGCTAAATGGGATTGGAGCGCCAGGGAAGAATGAAGGTGGATGGTGGAGCGATGCTCCGGATGGTGGAGGAGGGAGGGAGTTGAAGGACGGAAGACGCGCGAACAGCAGGCAAGGTTTTACAGGCTAAAATTGCCTGGGCGGGGAGAAATTCGAAAGGGTTAGCGCCGAAGGCCGTCGGCGACGAGCAGGACACAGCAAACATGATCTCGCGACCGAATTGCAGGCATACCATCGCACCGAATCTGATGAGAATTCGGGGACGAGGATATAGTTTCATATTGGGATGATCGCGCCGACGCGGAGGGCCGGCTTTTTGTTTCTGCGTCCAGCGACGGATTAATACTATTTCCCACCGGCCCAGAACTCGACCATCGCTTCTTCACTGACGGCCAGAAGTTTCTTTGATCAATAGTTTCGTCGAGTTGGAAGGGATTGTCTTGATGAAATCTCCTTGGTTTTTGTCTGCCAGGATCCCTTTCCTACAATCTCAACTTCACCTTGTTGATTTGGTATATGAGGCGATTGCCTGGAACTCATGTGGTTGACCCGTAACTTCACCAGCCGTTGTCTCTCAGCTGCCACCTAATGTTTACAATCACCCATTTTCCCCGTGAACGCCCCTTCTGACTCTAAGTTTGCACCTTTTCGCTACTTGAGCTTTAGGATTCCGGCTTCAAATATTCAAACTCCGGGTTCATGTGGTGAGCCCTCACGTGAGGATGCTGTACGACGCCTATCGCTCAAGGAGAGCTCACTTGCAGCCAACTCCTGTCCTGATGCTGCACACTTAATCTCCGACTCGGTCTTTTAGCAGTCAGCATGGAATTGTTGATTTCTTGGTCCGAGCTCTAAGAACATCACGTTGTGCAGTCTGTACTCGCATCTTCGCAGTATGCTCAAGTCTAGGCTTCGGCCGTGTCCTGACCATGCCTTCTTGATCTGACACAGTGGTTCTCTTGTGATGCTCATGCTTTGATTCGACTTTCCATATCACGATGATAAGTCCGCGGAGGCTCTATCGTATGTGGATTTGGTTATACAGTTCTTCAGGTCAACTGGCCGTTTGGGGACTCATTGAACTCTTCGTTCGAGATACCTGGGTTCTACTGACGGGAAGGATCCAGCTCTACCACGTCGGCCAAAACCTTATGTCGGTGTTGGAAGTAATATGCAACTCCGAGGACATTTCCGGTTTGCTATGCTCTTAAGTTCCCTGGATTTCAACTGTCAAGGTTTTCAGCCTATGAGAGTGGTATCATTACTTGGTTTACCAATCAATTGCGGACCTCATCTGTTCTGCATTGAGTGCAGCTCGCATCAGACTACCCCTTACGACAATTGGTGCCTTGCCACTGCGACCTCAACTGTTCCTTGTTCTCGATGGCAGAATTGTCGCTCTGTAACTCTTATCCAATGCACAACACCAGACGAAGTATTATTGCTTTGGTCTCGTTCTCGGATAATCCGTAGGGTTGGCAGGTACTTAGTCTTTGCCAATTGACTAAGAGACGGAGCAATGCATCGGTCTAGTCGCTCTTTGCATCTATTTTCGTTCACGAAACCTAAGTACTACACTAAGTAACACCCCATTGTTAAAGATCGTCGGCAAATGTCCCCTGCATCATCGGTTCCCTCGAGGAACCGGCTCGAGTCACTAAAGTGCTCGTAAGCAGATCTGAGCTCATCAATACGGGATACATTGTTCATACACCAAAACAACTCTTAACTTCCCAGCCCCCAATGATTGACCGAGATCCTTGAGAAATGGAACAAATTGATATCAAGAAGCATGGTGACTTCCACGACCTCGTTTCCATCACAACCCAAGAGAGAGTACCAGTGACAATAGCTTCAGTCATTTTCCTCCACAACGCGGGCACGGTCCGTTGGCTGGGGCTGACCGGTGCGCAGTAGGCTGAAACAGGTCCCACCGCGTCGTGTCCGAGCTAGTCCAGTCTACTTAGTCAGTTAGTACCAGGGAGCAAACAGCTCAGCCTATCTAATATTAAGCCCTGCATTTTAGGGGGAAAGAAAATCCCAGGGCGTAAATTCGCCGACGGGGAAACGACGGGCGCGATCCGTAGGTAGAACAAGCAGTTTAATGGTTCCGGTTATGCGGTTGATACGTAGGTTGCTTTTCCCCTTTCCCTTCACTTTTCAAGTACTTCCAGAC